ATGCTTTGATTGTTTTACACTTATATGGTTTACTCATTTCTGTATTTATCTACATGTGTTTCTCTTTTTCTCTATTTTTTGTCTGCAGAACCTATCAGTCAGTTTGTAAGGCAGTTGAATTACGATTTATACCAATGTATTTGGAAAGCCCGGAGTACATAAAATATTCATTTGGTTTTTCACATTTTTCAACTTCAGTATCATCATTAAATAAGATTGGAGTGTAAGTTAATCGCGTTTATTCCTTGTTCAATGTATGTACACTAAGTCTTTGGTTAAAGCCCAGCTCATCCGTCTTGGGTTTAAGCAACTCAGGTGGTATCATTAGCCTCCACACTTGTAGTTTGGACCATACCCAAGTGACCTGGTGTATGATTTAACAACAATCATTATAGGTTACAAGAGTTGAAACTCTTCTGTTATTTTTTCCATATAATATGGAAACCAGGAGTTTAGGTATTGTCTAGGCGTAATGTTTTCCACTACAACTAATGTCATTACAAATTCTGCTACTCTGACATTTGTCTTATTGATAAAGTGTAACGGCAACTTGAAATAATGCGAATATAGTTCAGGTCTTATGTTCTTTATGACTGAATGACTGACTTTTCAAGTACTTTGTATAACAGTGTTGATTACTATTGGTAGTAATTAAACCCAAACCCTAAACATTAAAAATTGTATCTGTTTATGTGTGTTTATTGGCTGGGACCTCCTATTTTACTTACTTTTCATTGTATTCTCGTGACCAATAGTTGCAGACTCAGGGTGACATGGCTCAGAATCTATCACAATGGCGTAGGTGTATACACTCTCTATCTTCCCTTAAACTACAAGATTAAAATCGCTTCATATCTTTCTTTCTACATAAAATCTTTCTTTCATATATTACACCATTGAGTTAACTATTTCTATGAATCCAGTGTTTATCTTCTTGTGCTAATGCGGTATGGCAGCTTGAACCGATGTATATATATGTGCCTGATCCCACGTTGTAACTGACTGACTGTTTGATTGATACGATTTTATGTGATGTTGTCGATCAGTGACCTATTTATCCACTTACCATATGATTGAAATTTCTGTCATGCTGTCATATTCACCAACAATTTCCAATTGAACAACAAATGATTCATGTAACTTATATCATTACTGTATTTTGTCGTTTAACGAATTCTTATTTTGAAAGATTCTCGAGATGGTGGAGAAGATTTGTAGCTCAGGTGGATGATTTTGGTGGAGTTTTGTTCTCTGAGCTGGATGGTTTGGTCAAACCAGCTCAGGGAACAAAACTCCACCAAAAAGAAAGATTCTCTTAATTTTCATGTAGAGTTTTGTTGAAACACAATGTGAATTGTTATTCAGTCAGATGGTTTGTTTAACTATATGCTTTTATGTTTAAATCTTAAAGTAATCAATTCAATCTCGTGTTATTCGTTGAAGCTCACACATTCTTTGGTAATTCATTGACTACCTTTTTTTCTCTGCTAACGCATTGTTAGAACTCAGCATAGAGTAGATAGAATGTAGTTATCAGTGGAATCCAGAACTCATATTTCGTTGTGTTTTGAACTTTTAAGTCCGATGTACCTGCATCACAGAGTTGATGTGCAATCCAGTACTCAAACCCAATGTGATGTTCGCTACTTATGTCTTCGAATATAAGTAGTATGTAGCATCAATCAGAAGTGAAATGCCTGCCAGCAGAAGATTGATTTGAATAGAATAAGAAAGAAAACAGAGAAACTGTGATAACAACGGGATTGAAGGATCATAAGATATTGAAGAAAGACATGCAAATAATATATTTAATGTATGATTTTAATATTTTGCGTGGCACTGCGTAATTTTGCATGAAACAATAAATTGGCTTTTCCAACCTGAGTTCTCGTTTAAAACACCAGTGCCGCTCACTTCACACGCTATCATGTTGTCCATTTGGCTACTGAGTCTAGATTGGCACTCACTTTTGCAACAGGTATGAGATATAATTCATTCTCTGTATGAACACCAACTTTGGGATGCATGTAAATCCAGCTGATGAGTACCAAATAGAACGAATTGTACATCTTGGATTCCATTACTAGCCACATTCCATCCATTCTATATCAACTTGTGGTAAATGGCTATATGGAGGGAATCCACACATGATCCACATTCATCAACCAAGTTTTATCAAATTTCAGTCAAAAATATCAACAACGAGATAATCTGAACCTTTTCAATTTGAATCAAAGCGAGAAATTGTTTCAGTGTATACTTACCCTCCTATTTCTTTATACAATCTTTACTATTGCAGTGTTTTACATTTCTTGAGACATTTGAAATTTATCCATTGACGGTTTTTAGTTTTGTTTTCTCGGGTGATATCTACCTTGAGAGATTGAAATCAAGCCGGGCATGTATTAAAAACGGTTAAATACTGTGAGCTTGTAACTCCTCCGTAATGCACACATCACAACCTTACATGCTATTGCATGTCAAAAATGAAACTACAGGGAATATGTTCAATTGGATGCTAATGATTTTCAAGATAGTTTTGTGTAGAAAACTGTCGTTTTTTATATTTTGGCTTAATAGTCACAATTGTTTGTTAGCATTAAATTGTTTGAACTGTGTAGTTTAAATAGAATGTTTTCATTGTCATTCAATACAAACCATCATTACTCGGTTTTTGAATAACAGTGAACATATCCGCAATAATTTTATTTTAATGACACAATTAGTGATTGATTTACTTCAAAGTCTTAGTTTCCATTATGATAGACTGTTATTGTGTTCATAAAAATTGACCTCAAACTATATGATTCATTGACCCGATCTTCATCGGTTAATCAATTCAGTTTATGTGGATAGATTTATTGATTTCAGATTGACCTGAAAGGCACTCATTAATAACTGAATAACCAGTTTGTTTAAAGTTCCCTCGATCTAGACTTACAACTTATTCATATTTATATCCGTAATAATGTACAAGCATTATTATAATGTTCACATATGTTGTTCCGCAAGGTGATCTAACTCTCCACCCTCGGTCGTACAAGGGCATTTGGGGGGCGAATAAAAGAGTAGACGTTTGCGACTAACACTAGGATCTAGAACTCTTATTTCGTCCTATTCGGAGCTCATCAGCTGGATGTACCTGCATTTCAATGTTATTGGTGCTCAGATTATTACTCGAACCCATTATTCTTCACTTAAAGCACAAAAGTGAAAGATATGGCATGCTTAACGAACATTAAAAAATAGATAAATGATCTCAGCTGGATTACGCCGTTGTTGATATTTAGGACTGACTTCTGATCAGTCTTCGTTAACCTATGTGGATGCTCTACAGCTTTTCTTGTTATGATCATTTTGTCACGATTCCCATCTAAATAAATGAATTATTGTTAGCATTAGAATTCTGGACATTTTTGTCATATTCGGAGCTCGTCAGCTAGATATATTTGCATCTCAGTTCTAATGTTCATAGTCAATCAGACAGTTAGCTACAACGTAGGATCATGCACATATGTGCAGCGGCGCAACTTCCCATACCTCATTAGCGCAACAAGATGAACACCGGATTGATAGAAGCGGTTAACTCAATGGTGTAATATATAAAAGACAGATTTTATGTATGGATATAGTACAGGAAGAAAGAATTAGTGTGTAGAAAGAAAGATATGAAGTGATTTTAATCTTGTAGTTTAAGGGAAGATAGAGAGTGTATACACCTACGCCATTGTGATCGATTTGGAGCCATGTCACTCATAGTCTCCAACTATTGGTTAAGATAGTCACGCGGACTCCAATCAAGTAGTTTCCATCTATCAATATGGCTCGCACTAGAAGTTAGTGACTTTGTGGAGTGATGCCACGTTTTGCTTTGGCGGCCCCTAACTCCTTTCTAACCATCCCCAACACTAGTCAGCATTGCGTGTCGTGGTAATGGGTGTTGAGGCGTACGTAACAGGTGAAGATTCACAAGTTCATCAACTGATTTACCATCATCGTTCCCTAATACTTTGCGTCTGACTTCATTATTACTTAGCAGGTGATCCCAGCAGATGGGAGCAATATTTCTAAGGCATCTGTGGTCAAATACTTGTAGCTTTTGAATATCATTTGTTCTTAAAGGCCACGTTTTGCAGCTGTAAAGTAAAACAGAACGAATTATCATAGTAAAGTGTAAGAAAATAAATGAGAAACGACTTTGTTTAAGAATCGGTTTTATTTCGTCTGTTCCCGTTTTTTTTTAATTAATATAAAGCAGATCTCCAAAACGCGATATTCGACGTTTATCACAAAATGTAGGAACAAGTCAACAACAAACTGGTCTATTTGGAAATGCTTTAATGAATGTATTTAGTAGTCAATATAGTAAGTGAACTATATTTCTTATGAGAAAATATTTGATTAACAAATATTACTGTATTCCTTTAAAAAATCAGATGAATTCGAGCGTTTTCAGTGATGTGCACGATTAATTGACAGTTTACTTTAACTTGCACAGTAAAAAATACCTCATGTTGGAAGAACAGACGGAAAAAGAAACCAAGACTAGTATCCGTGGTCTCATTGACCAAGTAACATGTGATCGTGGATCTCAAGGCGCAATATTTTGTACTAGTAATTTTCACGTTCTAATGGCTTTTAATCTGTTCGTCTAGTAACAAACAATCTCAACTATTCTCAATATGTTGTTGTGGAGATTTGTTGAATTTCATTTAAATCATGAACCAATCTAATTTGAACTACCATTAAAAACGTGAATGAACTAGACACCGGTTTCGTCCTAGTATAGGAACCGATCACGCGGGAATCAGATTCGTGACAATGGATCTATTTGAACCTTGACTAATCCTTAAATGAATAGTGACTAGTGTCATGTACATCAAGTCTTTCCTAATGTTGATGTAATTCTATCAATCAAATTCTAATATTACAAGTACACGTTGCTGACGATCAACAAATAACACGAAACCTGAATCTTATAATGTTGTCTATCGACTATCTCGAGATTACCACCATACATTTTGACACAGTGCAGACGATCTCGAGTCGTTTAGACTAGTATTGGTCACATTGCAACTTAATCGATAGAATTTAATCACCGCTATGAAGTACTTCATATACATGAGATTGGTCACTACTCAGTAATTAGACAGTTATAAAGTAAAAAAATAATAATTGCGAATAAATACCTTTACCTATTCTTGTTTTCACTATGAAGCTTGTATTTAATCAACATAAGAAAGATCTGTTTTGGTAATCTTTGGTTTAGAAGAAAGTATGTTATGTCTGATAGTGTTTACTATTTTGAATTGTGTGCTTATATATGTGTATGTAACCTTGGATTAATGCACTTTTTTATGTGTGTGTGTGTGTGTATGTTTGAAACTTTGTTTAATTATTTACGAAAAAGGTAAGAAACAATGTAGTTTAACTTACAAATCAATTATTTGTTATGAATATAGTATGTTACTATTCAAGTATGTATGGAGTGTGATTCATAGAGAGAGAGAAAACGGGAGAGAGCGATTCGTAACAACTGGTAAGATAGATGATTTGTTAATGCAGGGAGTTTGTTAAATGTTTGTAACTTTGCATTACGGATGTAGTTCAGTTAGGTGATCATTGACAACTAGGAAGGATTGAATGGTTGTTTCATCCTGGCATAAGGTTCTTCAGCAACACTCACCCATAATCTATCCGATGGATGGAAGCCTGGACCTTCAGGTGGCACGGTGGGCAATTAGCCTTTGAAGTGTTAACATTTTTAACATTACACAATTAGTTCACAATATTCCAAAACTATCTTCTATTGCCTGTGATGAATGATTGTCTTATACTCAGCATAGTTGAACTTGATTAGCCACGGCTTCTCCTTTAGAATTTCAGAAATCCGATGTTGGAGGAAATGATTAATATGAATATAAGAGTGCTTGTTGAGATTGTAGAATTTTAGTCGTTTAAGTCATCAATCTTATCAAGATGAATATATATATAAAACCGGGAAACAATAAATAGCTGTTTCTTTTTGTTATGGGACTCAGAAGTTTGTATCCGTATTCCCCACTAGGTATAATAACCAACACGTTTGATTTCACTCTCAAACGCTTAACTTTCAAACCAATGTCCTGTTTTCAAGTAGGTAACCTTGTTAACTTCACATTGTAATTTAAACTATGAAAAGTCTACAATTCCTCAAAACCTCCCTATTCTATAGTCAACTAGTTATATTGCTCAACCAGTATCCATTACAGTCGGCGTTGTATGTCTTGCTCGCGATATGATTGAACTCGGGTAGTTAACATTTCTCACTACAACTATGAGAATTATGAATATTGCGCATATCATATATAAGTGGAGTTTTTTTCACTGAGCGCGAATAACTATGACTCCAGTATTCTATCATCCTTTCTATATGTTTCTTTGTATATATCGTTGCTGCGCCTACTACTTAGAAACCTCTTATCTAATTTCAAACTAGGCTACACCTTAGATTTTGCAACCCAAAAAACACAGTTTTACGTTGATCTTAGAAACTCCGTGTGCTTTTACCTGTTATCTTTGGACGTTCTAAATTATTATTTCAGTATTGGTTGCACTGATTCAAAGCGGCAACTTTGTTAGCGTATGCTGACACAACTGACAGGCAAGAGGGTCCGTAATTCGGGAGCCACTAGCAGATGAGGACGAATTTAAAGAATAAATTTCGCACCACAGACTGTTCATAGGCCCTCTCCGTGACTAATTATAAAGAGACAAGGAATGGAGGAAGCACAATGTGAAGAAAGAATAGATTTATGATCATACCGAAAAACAGGACAACATTTGACCATGAGAGCAGAAACGAGGCGATGTATATCAATGATGTCTGTCATAGAAGAGCACTTGTTTTATGTCAAGTACATCAACAAGAGAAGTGCAATCCCTAAACTGAATATTGTACATATAACAAGTGAGGAAGATGGAATGAATAGACAAGAACGTGGACGAAAGTAGCCACAAATGAAGCATGTGAAACGAATGAAGGAATAATAATCTTATTGTAAAAGCGTCAATAACAGTAGTCGAAAAATGCAACAATGCAGTGTAATACAAAAGACCTTGATAATATAACATACCACGAAATACAAAATAGCTTAAGAAATTTCTGCTCATTATAGGTTACAAAAGGTAGAGGTGGGACCACGTAAACGATGGTAAATGAATGACAGAATACTGAAATAATAAGTTAGGATGTCCAAAGATAACAGGTAAAGGCACATGGAGTACTACCTAAGATCAACGAGAAACTGTACATTTTGGGTTACAAAATCTGGGGTGTAGCCTAGTTATAGGCATGTGATGCGTAAGATAATAAAGGCGCACATATACTCTTACTTAAAGCTTCCAAGATTGATATAATAATAATTAACAAGGTGAAAATGCTACTAATGAAGAAGAATGTATGAATTGATCTGTCGAGATGTTAGAATAAGTTATATTGGCGTCCCATGGCACTCAACACTACATTTCACTCAGTATATTGAATTATTCACTGGATATTTGAAATTTAGATATGAATTGTATTCTGTTAAAGTACATCTATATCAAAATATGTTTTATATCGGTTTTTTTCCCAGCTGATGGACAATTTTTCGGGAATCTGGACTCATCCAAACTCTCAGTTTCATCAATGCGTCGTAATCAAAAAGATCGGTTTGGTAGTATTCTCAATGATCAAACTAATCGATCTAATCGATATTATACTAATACTGGCACTACTACTACTACTACTGCTGTCAACGACGAATTACTTACAAATCAACATGTCATCGGTATAAAACATTTACCGGAAACAACACAACAATTAGATTTATCTCAATGTAATGTATATATACGTGGTTTATCACGTCCTGAAGTTGTAACTCAATCGAATAATCGTCATCCATTAGGTTTAATCACTACATCCACCATTAACCCACTTGTATTATCATCAACAACAACACTTGGGATAACGAATTTACATTCTAATCAAACTAATCACTTACCAGCATCAATGAATAGGAATATTTTATCGAATAATATTAATAATAATACTATGACAACTCCAATTTCATCATCTACAACAGCTGTACGTGATATAAGCTATCGAAATAAAATATCAAATGAATTAAATAATTTAATTAATCCATCTATATATAATAATTCATTCGTTTCATCATCATTACCACAACTTTCAACACAGTTTATGTTCAATGTTGTTACTGAAATTGTTATCAATGGAGTACGTAGACAAGTGGCTAAAGTAACAAGGTGAGTAAATTTTATACGTCGGATTTTTGTTGTTGTTTTTGTTATGTCTTGATAAAACGAAAACATTTTCCTATTGAAGTTTCTGTTGGGACGGGTGTCGTAAACTACGACAGAGCCTCCAGAGGCTCTAGAGGAGTCACAGAGTTTCATCCAATCAGAACGCAACGGAGCTTTCTAGAATATCAACATGGCATGCTACTATTGGTCAGTAGTATGACATACCACTTTGCGGATTGGTTGAATTATAATGTTGATTTAAACAACGCTAATATCTATAGATACCCATGATTTTCTGTACATTTCGATTCTTACTCATCAAGCACTTCTTCTGTCTTCTCATTTGCGACTTGGGAGGGTTCTAGCGCTAACAGTTTCTAGTTGATAGCCTACAACACTTATGTATTAAGGGGATAATTGAACTACTCTAATACGAGCAGTCCTATTTCGAACTGGATAACGGAAGCTGACACACATTATTTCACAATAATAAACCACAAACTATAGAAGACCAATTATAAGTCAACATTTTATTCACTTGGTATTGTTTATTTGAGTCTTCTTATTGTTATTTAGAACTACAATTGGTCAGTCTGTTATTGCCTTAATATAGCTTTAATTCACGAGCATTATATACAAAGATGGATAGTGTCTAGTAGTGGAATCTAGGACGTGGGTTTCGTCCCACTTAGGACTCTTCATCTGGATGTATCTGCATCTCCGAGTCGATGTTTACTTGGGGACCGTTCGCTTCAAATGCCATCGCGTTATCCATTTAGCTACTGAGTTCTGATAGCCATTTGCTTGTGCAATGAGATAATCAATGGGAAGATTCAAGTAAACATTACCAAGTGAATTTAAACTTCACTCCATCTTTCCATAAAAATTTGATATTCAAAGCTGAACAATTTGATATAATCCAACTCAGCTTATGTAGTAAAAAATACGTAATATTCAAGTACCTGCAGTTTTTGATGATGATAGTATTGGCTCTCCAAATTTTAGCTTCATATGACAAAACTATTTTAACGTTCATATTGAAAATTCTGTCCTTGATGTTGACTGGCTGTCGTATTGAGTTCCAGATTCTCTTCAAGTTTAGGAATATTGGTTTTGCTTTGTCAATCCGTTTCTTCATATCTGTTTCAGATCTACCTTGTTTATTGATGATAATGCCCAGGTACACCCGGAGCCCTTCTAGGATTACTGTCAGTCCGAAGCTCGGATAAATGAAGTAGGTTGGACATGAAGTTCACAAAACGATCTCGTGGAAAAAAATCCTTGCTAAAAAAACACTAACGAGAAACATTACTTAAACCATTTGAACTCTGCACTGTGAGTTGAAGGATCCTGATTAATAATAATTATGACTCCTCATGATGAATGCCGAGATTCTTTCGAAATCACGAGGTTAATGCCCCCATTCTAACAACCAGAGTAAAACTTAACATAGGTAAATGAAATAACCCGATATAATACTTGTGGAATTACTAAGTAGCTCATTTTTAAATGAAGCGAATAATAAGGATGTTATTCAGGATAAATAATGAATGCTTCACAATTAAATCATTTTAACTCATAGTACTCATCACCATTAAATACATCTATTTGAGCTGAAAATTTTCTCCCAACTTTTTACAGGTAATATTTAATTGACTTCATTGACGACTTGATTTGAAGAATAAGTAAAATTATACTATTTAGATCATGAACTGATCAATGTCGGACCATCATTGAGAAACTGGAAGCACTGAACAGTCGTTTCATTCGAGTATGGAACTCTTTATCGGTGTCGATATACGATCCCTCACACGGGACTTGAATTAAGGACCTTCAGTCCCACACAAACACTTAACACTTAGCATCCGATAGTGTTAATGTACAAGTTCAACCAATCCACAATATTGTGTGACCATTTTCCATTGTCTTTGGTTGGTAACTGCTTCAAATTCCACACGGTTGAACTCTACTGGTGATTAAGCGTTGTCACGAGACTGAAGGTCGCAGAATCGTGGGTGTCTACTACTGAGACGTCCGATACTAGGAAGAAACGGTCGTTCATGGCTTACAGGATTTCAAAGGTGGTTTAACGTTGAGCAGTTCATGATCGCGATCAAAACTCAAAAACCCCTATACTGATAAATTATATTTACTCATTGAAATTTATAAATTTTATTAAGTATCATAGATTAAATTAATATACAGTCCTAGTGTTTATAACAATTAAGCGTTTTCCTCTACACCCAATGGGAATGTTACTCATTAGATAATGAAATTTTCTGTGATTAAACTATACAGCTTAAACAATTTAAATCTTCCATAGTTTCGAGGTATTATGTTAATTGTAAGATAAAATGTCAACATTTTGTTCGATTTTATATACATAAAGTATGATGAAGTATGTACTGTTCATTTGTTTATTTGATTTTTCAAAGTTCATGATAGAATCAAGCTTTCTCTTTCTCTATGTGAAGACTCTAGATAACATGGCTCAGAATTGATCACAATGGACTGGACGGTCGTTTCGTCTTATTGTGTGACTCCTCAGCACGTGCTCGCTAATGACTAGCTTCGTGTGGGAAATTCTCGGAGTTCTTGTTAGAAGCCGTGACCAGTGGAGCTAATCCGTGTCGAGTAGAGACCGGTATCTACTTCAGTAAAATGAAAGATGGTTGCGCGATTTCGTGGATTGGTTGAGGTTAGACATTAACACCATTGGATCCCGGCTTAGTGGTCTAGAGGTTAAGGGTTCGTGCACAAAACTGAAGGCTCTGGGTTCGAATCCCGCGAGGCGGGATCGTGGATATGCACTGTTGAGGAGTCCCACAATAAGGCGAAACGGCTGTCTAATGCTTCCAGATTTTCAATGGTGGTCTAACATCAACCAGTTCATGATCTCAATCGGAAACTTAATAATTTCACGTAAATCTCTACGTGATTTTTATCCTTTTTTTTATTTTTTTCTTTAGAAAATATTCTGAATTCTATGTACTTGAACAAAAATTAATTGAATTTCATGGTACATTAATAATCAAACAATTACCAAAACGTCAATTAACCCCACGTACAATGGAATTTCTTGAAAGTAAATGTGATATATTTCAAAGTTATTTACAGGTAAATAGTTAAATCTTGTTGTTGTTGTTGTTTGTCTGTTTCAATCTATCAGTCATACAGCACATAGAATTTGATACATATATACATTGATTCAACTTATCATACTTACGTAGTGTAGTGTAGGAGTAAAGAAGAGAATAGATGAACTATCGAAAGAAGAATAAATGATATAAGAAGATTTTAGGACTTTAACGATAGTCACACAAATCTTAACCAAGTGATCTACACCTTTTAATATGTCTCATTCCTATTGTTAATGACTTCATGAACTGGCATTACGTTTTGGTTTATCTGTCCCTAGCTTTCTGTCAGTCTATTCCTATATCAGACAACATTGTCCATCGAGGTAGTCGGTGATTTTCCATACGTGATGCTGCATGTCTCAATCATTTTAGTTGATGAAGACCCACCATCTCATCAATCGACTTGCCATATTTATCTAGTACCGTATTCTCAACCATAGCATTGGTTATTCGTTGGTCTCAAAATTCACGAATGATACGTTGAAGACGCCTATTTACGAATACTAGCAACCTATGGATATCCTCTATTTTTGAAAAAAAAGTTCCAGACTGGTAAAGTAGTATGGAGAAAACTGCTGCTTAATATACTCCTCCTGTAGATCGAGAGGAGATTATCTCGCATAGACTACGAGTGACGCAAGTTGACAAAGGCCATACGAGCTCTTATCTGTTGCGATATTTTTTCAGAAATAAAGCCACAAGAGCTGATGAGATTTTCAAGATGAGTGAATTGAGTGACGCGCTAAATTGTTTCACTCCGTATTAATAATTCAGGTACTTATCCTGTTCAGTCTTGAAGCAACGTCTTGCATTTATGATTTAATCACTCACGTCGCCATTATCATTTATGCAGCAACTTAGATACACAAACAGGTTGATCACTTTTCTTGGTGTGAAAATATTGTAATTTCTTGGGGTTATTATATCCAATATTGTTGCGGTCTTTAAATGATGTATCACATGATAGATTGCAGTGGCCTAGATACACTCACTCTTTATCTTCACATTTAACAAATGAAATTAAAACACATGATTGAGGAAATGAAATCTTACTTTGGATATGTTGATGATACATTTCTTATTTGTAACAACCCAAATAATACTACGTTTTCGATCTTGGGATTTGAATAACTTTATATGGGGAGTGACAAAGATATATCTTTCTGAAGATAACATGAAGTGAAGTTTATCTCGACTTCAACAGCTTCCTCCCATCAAGTTAGCAAAACGGCATTGTGTGAACCTTTCTTAACGGTCCTCGTAAGATAATAGTTATTAGGAAATGTTCGCAGAAGTACACATACCTACAGAAATTCGTCGATTAATATGCTAAAACGAACTACCGTGTTAATTATGATCATACGCAGTTAGATTGACAGATGGACACATCTTTATAATAAAACCTGGCACGGATTTACGTTGGCTAAAGTTACCATGTGTCTGATTAGCACGACACGATGGAAATTTAACGAAGTTATGGGAATAATATAGTTACTTACTTACGCCTGTTAGTCCTCGTGAAGGAGTATAGGCCACCCATCAGTGCTCTCCATCCAACCCTGTCCTGACAATCCTTCCCAGCTCTTTCTAGTTGTTATTCACCCTTTTCATATCTGCTTCTATTTTCCGACGTAATGTGTTCTTTGGCCTTCCTCTTTTCCACTTTCCTTCAGGATTCCAAGCTAGCGCCTATCTGATGATGCAGTTTGATGATTTGCGTAATGTGTGTCCTATCAATTTCCATCGTCTTTTCCTGATAACCTTGAATTGTTGTGGTGTGCAACTGACCTATAATCTATTCCACTCCTTTTTTTTTCGTTTTAACCTATCAGATGGATCCCCTTTCGTTTATAAATAAAGATTGAATTTTCAGCGTAAACCTTCAATCAAACTGATCATCAACAGATAAGATAACTATCTATTAGAATGAACTGTTCATTTAATAGACTAACATACTTACTTACACCTGTTACCTCTCATGGAGGAGCACAAGCCGCCGACCAGCATTCTACATTCAACTCTGTACTGGATAATCCTTTCCAGTTACTATTCATCCTTTTGATGTGTGCTTCCAAATCTCCGACATAGTATGTTCCTCAACATTCCTCTTCTCCGTTTCCCTTCTGAATTCCAAGTTAAAGCTTTCGTCCTGATGCAATTTGATGATCTCTGCAATTTATGTCCCATCTCCTCAACTCCTAGGGCAGAGTTTAATTGGCTTAAATTATTTGTTGTAGTTAGCGCTTTTTTTGGAAACGTTTTCTAAAGGGTGTGGTTGTTGACACCATGCTCAACCCCCCTCCTTTATTCGGGCTTGGGACTGAGCTACAAACGGAGTTCACAAACTAACATTGTTACATATACAATAAAAATACCTATAAAATAAATGTTGTAGAGGTAATTGAAAAAGATCAACTTCATTGGTCATTCGTGCAGCTTCTAATTAAGACTTCATTCATCATCATCGGATTTATTACCTGATTATTATGAGCATTTACATTTGACTACTATTTGAGTTGTAAATGTTCTAATTAATTATGACAGATTCATAAATATTTCCAATGAGGTGAGTAAGAAGAGAAGAGCTTATGTGAAGGAAAAAAGAAATGGAATAGAATCTTGAATCACATATATATGTATATATGTGTGTATAACCTTAGAGGATAATTCGTTCTTTTGTTTTGACATTTATCTGTATTTATTTATGGATTGTTTACTCCCTTACCCCCCCTCTCTCTCTCTCCCTTTTCCTTTCCCTACTCATTGTTCTATTCGATTATTTCTTCTTTGTTTAAGATATAAAATTGTCCTTGTCCTTTTTCAATTTAATAAATATTTATTGTTTGTTGACATGATAATAATAATAATTTTTTTGTGGATTTCGAAGTGTTCTCTTTAATTGAGATTATTTATTCTTGGGTATTTCAAATTTTGTCTTACGCCTCCCCCCCCCACACACAAAAATGCCTCGGTACGGCTGCGGATGGGGTTTTTTCATTCAACAAGTTAGGGTGCGCTATAGCGATGTGTTCATAGAAGACATCTTAATAGCTATTAATAATCAAACAAAGTCTTAAATGGTATGCAGCACTGATCTAAATGCCCTTGTACAGCCGAGAGTGGGGTGAGTCAGCTCTCCCTCTCCAAATGTTCTCACATGACCACGTGCATACAACCACTGACAGGGAAGTCCTATGCACTGGATTCTCGTACCAGGAGTGTTGTTTGCGGAATTAAGCGAATGAAAAGTGAATATCCGGTGCTTTAACTGGGTTGGTGGATAATAAAGATCCACCTAGGTGAGTTGGAAAACCCTCATGGCAAACCAATAGTGCACATGGATTCAGGATCCTAAGGAAACAAATGGCGTATGAACGAATCGTTGTGACCGGCTACCATGGAACTGTATCTTCTTACGTTGCTTCATTGCCTTATGAATCAAACCTCTAGATGAAAGGTTCAGTGAGTGGCTCCCTAAGGAAATCACGTGGTTCGGTCTGGTCACCGTGGTAGTATCACAAGCCACAGACAAATCAAGTGACTAGTGTGATGCTTATGTATTCGGTGCCCATTTGTACCAATATTTGTGTGTTCAAATAAATAAATATTACCCCCTGCCTAACCAATCTCTTCATTCATCGTATTAATTTGTTTGAAAAAATATATGAAATTTGAATAGTTTTGTTATTATTACTAATTAGTATTGTTAAAAATAACTCTTGAAAACCTAAATCTGACTAATAATAGTCAAGAGGTATTTCTACTGAATTTAGGCTTTATGTTAATTAACACTGGTCAACAAGCCTTCCATTTAATCTTGAATGAAGTGATGCTCTGTGTAAATGTGTGTGGGTGCGTGTGGGTGTTATTCCAACTTGTATCAACCATGATCATACAGTGTTGAGATGTTATCTCTGAGGTATTCAGATTATGTAGGATACATATATACATTTGATGATTGGTCAATGAATACTCAGGTTAATATCAATTGGTGAACGGAATAATCTTCAAACTATGCCAATTCGAATTTCAGCGATCTAAACATTTCTATCTGATATTACCCATAAACAGTGATACACTCATTTTTCTCTCTATTCTTGGCTATTACAGTGTTATATAAAGCTAATATTCACTCTAAAAGATTCGCATCAAATTTCCTCCTTTAATTCCAATCATCCTGTCCTTCGTAAATATTTCTGTTTGAAAATGGATTCTGTAAATAACTATCCAACTAGATGCTGTATAATAGTGTGCTGGACGCTCCTCACAAGATTGCTTGTAAATAGTATGTAGCGGAACGTAGCCAAAAGCTGTCACAGTCGTCAGACGGGAGGAATAGTTTCAGTAGACTAAAAGCACGGCGTAGGCAGTACACTTAAAGATCATCAGTCAGTCAGTCAGTCAGCTACAACGTAGGACCAGGCACATATGTGCATCGGTCCAGGTTGCCATACCTCATTAGCACAGCAAGATGAACACTGGATTCATAGGAGTGGTTAGGTCAAAGGTTGCAATAAGGATATAGTATAGGAAGAAAGAATTAGTTCGTAGAAAGATATGAAGTGATTTTAATCTCTTAGTTTAAGGGAAGACAGGGAGTGTATACACCGACGCCATTGTGATCGATTCTGAGCCATGTCACCAAGAGTCTCCAACCATTGGTTACGAAAGTCACGCGGACCCCAACCAAGTAGTCTGCATCTACCAACATGGCTCAGACTAGAAGTTAGTGACTTCAGGCACTGATGCCACGTTTTGGTTTGGCCGCCCCTAACTTTCTTCCAACCATCCCCTACACCGGTTAGCATTGCACGTCGTGGTAATCGGTGTTCAGGCATACGTAATACGTGGCCCAACCATCTCAGTCGATGAAGATTCATAACCTCATCAACTGATTTACCATCATTACCTAATACCCTGCGTCTAACCTCACTATTACTTACCCGGTGATCCCAGCAGATGCCAGCAATATTTCTAAGGCATCTGTGGTCAAATACTAGTAGCTTACGGGTGTCTTCCACTCTTAAAGGCCATGTTTCGCTGCCGTAAAGTAAGACAGAACGGACTGCCGCGCAGTATACTCGTCCTTTTATTGATAGACGGATATCTCGCCTCCGCCAAAGGTGACGTAAGTTGGCAAAAGCCAAACGAGCTTTTCGAATCCGTGCTGAGATTTCGTCAGACACCAACCCATTAGGGCTGATCAGACTTCCAAGATAAGTGAAGTTGTCAACGCGTTCGACTACTTCACTCCCTATCCTTAGTTCAGGTGTTGACGCAGACCAG